ATGGATATGAGCCGTATCATACCATGCAAATCGAAAATGTTAAAGTTGGCGTGATCATAAATCGGTAATTACTGATTGTTTTATAAGTACCCCATCCGTATGCTTTTAGAGAATTTTTTTTTGTCCAAATTAAGTGATGTTTTCAATGTAAAATTAATTTGTGTATTTTGTTGTTTTCGACGATTTGAATTATGCAAATTGTTTTTCTATTGATTGAATTGTGTTTAGGTAGACAATAATTGATATTTTATTTCAGAAATTAGTAAAAATTAAATGATTTCTTAATTTAAGTGCATAAATCTTAAACATCATCGAGATAACTGAATAGTGGTTAGATGAAATCACCTAGTTAGACACTTGCATTAACACACGAGACATTATAAATCCGTGAGACTAAAATACCAAAAACATAACCTCACAATAAATCACCCATATAAAAATAAACCTTAACCAACAGAGAATGTTTATAGACTCATTGGCGAAACGAAAACACATCAAATTAACATAAACATATATAATACGACAAAAATGAAACCGAGAACCCATAATTAACAAATTATTCAATAGGATTAAGGATATATAAAATTTGCAAACCGTATTGAGAGATCATTTATTAGAAGGTGTAGTAGACCATTGGAACCGCATTTGCCTAGAGAGTGGACCTCCTTCGCTATGTATCTTGAGATTGCAATTGAACCTGGCGCTCGTCGCCTTTAATATTAAAGGACATTCACCTATACTTTGAGTTGTTCATATTAATAACTTAAATGTAGTATTGCAACGTAAATAATATAATAATATTAGAATTTTTTAATAGACTAAACGTGTTAAAATTTAGTTGCAAATGTTATTTACATGTATTAAAATCTGATCGACTAATATTTTAGCTCTTAATTAATCATGAACACCATACGTGGACAAAAAAAGAGAAGCTAGTAATTCAACAATCATATCAAATTGGGGAAGTTAATTATGCACAATTAAGAAAGAAAAAGTAAGTGCAAGGTTTATTTTGGGACTGAGATCTAATTATAAGGAAAGTAAATGAATGATGAAAAAGTAGAGTCGAAAAATAGAAACTGTATGAAACTAATTACACATATGAAACACGACGCAAATGCCAAACAAAGCTTAAACTCACCTCTATACATTGTCATTTTCTATATAAATTTGTTATCACATCGATTTTGCAAATTTTACCACATCCACATAATGATAAGTCTATAATAAATAATTTACAATATGCATTATATTGCACATGAATATAATCAAATTAGGGTTTTAATTTCTTTTTGTAATATAATCCAAAAATACCATGATAATAGATTTTTGAATTAGATAAAACACTTTTGAAACATGTCGTGATCATATTAATTGTAAATTTAGACCCATACTTTATAACCTAAAATTTATATCTAGTTTTGAACAAATAAACTCAACATTTGAATATGTTAAGCATTTTCTTTTTGTTGATGATAAACGTAGATGAAAAAAATTCTTTATATGTACATCTTAGTGTTTATTGCATTTTATTTTGGAAATTATTTTATGAAAAGTAAATGCAACGTAGAAATTTATGTTTGAAACAATCAAAATGTAAATGACGTGCATGTTTAACATCGAATGCTTTTTAACACAATTTAAGAGAAAATGTTTGGTGTGGTTGCTGGTTTCGCACTTGAATACTTAATCGTTAATATGCTTGAACATAGAAAAATTTCTCTTTTCAATTTTTTTGTCACGATGTAACATACATATAATTTGTTTTTTGAATGAATGTAAAATTATTATTTAATTAAAAATTGTGTTACAGTAAATTTTACTTAAATTTGAAAAAAGTTTAATACAAACAACTAACAAAAAATTTAGAGCTTAAAATGAACCATGAAATAGAAATAATCAAAAGATGAATTAACTTTTTAAGTTTAATACAATCATTGTAAAAGAAATTTCATGCTATGTGAA